ATTGAATGTTAATGGTTTTAAGATCAGGACTTGGTTAAGAAGCTGAGATTGGAAGGTTTAGTTGTTGGAACAGATGCCTTAATCTCAGAATCATGCAAAGTGAAGCTATTGGCCGTTAGTTTATCCTGTATGATGATAGATAAGGTTTTGAAAAGTAAAATACTGTTCTTCAATATTACATGCTAATTTGGAAGTAAGAACAAAATTGTGCTTGCTTATTCCCTCCTATATGTCAAAAAAGCATATCAATTTTGAAGTAACAAGTAACAACCACATTCAGCTTGCTTGTCCTTTCAATATTGAGTATGGTCCAAAAATCTAAGTTTAGACTCATTTTGTAAAATCCTTTCATTACTCTTCCAAAATATGTGCTTATAGTATTCCATCTGTATAGACATGTAATTTGTGGCCTTGCCTGCTGTCCAGGTGCAATTCACATTTATGTGTTTTAACTTGCTATATTGTCCTTACCTTGGTCTGAAGCTTCAGTGTGCTAATTAAGTCATTGAACTTTATTTTGATGGAATTTCTTATGTGCATTTACTTGAATGAAACCTACTTCAAGCATTCCTCATTTTGTACAAACCTACTTTAATGAAGCTCCATAATTCTGCTGTTTTTGTAGGGAGGCAAAATTCGTGATCTGCTATTCCAAATTCTTGAAAATGAAAAGGATGTTCTAATAAAACATGGCACACAGTCAAGAGAGAACAGAAGGGCGGCTTCAAGGGGGATGCACACATCAAAGTTCTGCTTGAATCCTGCTGGTGATACTCCATCAGCTTGCAGACTCTTTGACGCTATAGTTAGTTTGTGTGTCCCAGTGATAGTTAGTGATAGTATTGAGTTGCCTTTTGAAGGTATAATAGACTATAGAAAATTCTCAGTATTTGTCGAAACTGTAGCTGCACTTAAGCCTGGATATCTTGTTTTGTTGCTGAGAAAGATACCAGCAAAGAAGATTATAGCATTTCAAAAAGCAATGGACGAGGTTTGTGCAATTTGCATCATCTTTCTTCCCATTTTTCCATGCAGTTGGTTCATCAGTTTTTGCTTCTTTACTCGTGGCAGTCATTACTGAAATGTTCTTTAAGACTTGAGGTTTTGATATCAGTTCCCTTATTTTTACTCTTCTCAACATAAATTTTGTGAATTCAGGTTAGGCGATATTATGACTACACTGATCCAAATGGAGCAGTGAATGAAGTCTGGCGGCAAGTCTCACAAAAGCTACCACTTATTAAGTTGATGATAAATCGTGATAGACGGCTTGTCAAGACGGGCTCAAGTGAACCCACTTGCTCTTGCCTATGTTCAAACCGGACAAGGATCATCGGTTCCTTGTGATGCCAACTCTTTCCATGATCTGTTAAATTTATACCTGACTGGTTAGGGCAGAAGAGATTCCACTTATTCCAGCAGGATTCAGGCGATAATATATATCCAGAAACTCCCATTTTCTTGAATATACAAATGGCCCTGTTAGGTTTTTGGCCTCACCTGGATTTGGTGGAATTTTGGCCATTACAGAAGTTTTCTCACACGTGCTGTAAGCTGGGTGGTACTTTGATTGAACAGCTACAATTGTAATTGATTTGTACATGATACAAAATAAATTATTTGCACTATTCTTCAAGATTGTCATCCTTTGATCACGTTTGCATTAAAAGATTAAAGGAAATAACAGAATATATTTTTTCCTAATGTTTTTTAATTGAGATAGATGTTTTTTAATATGGACTGGCCGTAAAAAGCAGTGCATTTTAGGTGTACTGTAATTATTAAAACGCCGTTAATAAATAAATATAACGAAAAGTTTTATTAATAATGTTTTCGTAATTTTAATACTTCGATTGCATTTTTTTTTTCAGTCTATACTAAAAAAAAAAAAGAAGGAACATTTGTTATTAATTATGTGCACTTGATTGTGTTAATGTTGATTTTAAACAAGTAGAGCTGCAAACAAGAAAATAGCAGCAAGGGTCGGTAAGGAAGCATGGCCAAAGATCACATGCATGCCCCACCGAAGGGAAGTGCAAATCCCATTTTTCTTTTTGGTTACAGGCGAGGCCAGGTAAGGGGCAGGGTGGGATCGAACTCCCCACCTGATTATATCCCATTTTAATTAGCTGAAAACCTTGAATATCCCTCTCCCTCTAAGTGGACAGGAAATTCAAAGCTTTAGAAGTACAAATTGAAAGCTATCCAGAAAACCAAAAATGGTATCCAAAATACTACTATTGAATTTATCAATATTTATCCAAGAGATTTCATGAAAATCGATAAGTAAAGGGCGGACAAGACAAGCCTCTACATTTTACTAATCTCTTCAAGTTTCATAGCCAGAGATGCATCATTTATCATCATAGATGAAATATAGAAATGCGGGAAACAGTTGCAACTAGAACAGGCATCCCTCTTGAATCATTAACCAGGTGGCCATTTCATCTGCCTCCCACCCAGGACATGCAAGTGGAGATGGTAAACCGATTGACCTGATCATACAGCTACAGAGTTATATAAACAGAACACTATGCAGGATGAAACTACTTTTGGGGACGGAAAAGAAAACATGATCATAACTTACAGGCACTTGGACCATTGTTGATAACAACACGAAAACCATCAAGAATGCCTTCTTTTTCAGCAACAACTCTGGCAGCATAAAGAAGTTCACCCAGAATCTCTTTATGTCTTGGTTCAGCCTGACGTGGTAGAATAGAAACCACAAGTAAACATGACTAACATAGCATCTTCAATGGCTGGGATAAGAATTTCTCTGTAGCACTTGTATCCCACAGAACTCATATTCAAGAGAATTCTAATAAAGATTTTATGGATTTGGTCAACAGGTCACAGGTCACAAGTATTTTCATGGGGATGCTAGGCAGGTACATTGTAAAATGCAGATGATGGTGAAGGAATGCGTTTTTCAAAAGTCAGGTGAGGAACTTCCCCAATCCTTGTGTAATAATGATAACAAACTCAAGACTTTTTAATTATCAAACAAGAACCCTTTAGCAGGGGAAAGCAAAAACCAATCAGAAAGCATGTTGCAGAACAATGAGTTCTAAGATCTATCCAAGCTATCCAATTCAACAAATGCAGCAAAAACATAGGAATACAAAGTACGACCAAGAGGTACCTTCCCAAGCTCTGTCAAGCCATCCCTCAACTTAGGGATGACTAAAACGTGAACAGGAGCCTGTGGATCAATATCCCGAAATGCTAAGACCTTATCATCCTCATATACAATGGTTGAAGGAATTTCCTTTGCTATGATCTTGTCAAATCTGAGGAAGGAGGAGATATTAACTCTCAATTCAATTGGCAAGCAGCATAAACATATAACTAGTATTCATCTGTACCATTGTCACAAAAAAATGTGTCATCTTATATCCAAACTCTACTTGATGTATCTGATTCAATGATTTTGATAGTCTTCCCCATCCCCTCTTATGATAAATTAGAAGTTTTCAGCACAGACTAGAGTGGTACGGTTCTTCTACATATTCTAGAATCAAGGTTCTTTCTTTTAACATGCTAAAGAGTTTCGCCCAAAATTTTAAGTGTCAGCAGGAGTAAAATCCATCGAATTAAAAAATTTTTTCCCCCAAAATCATCTGATTAATTTCAAAACCTCTCCATATCAAAAGGGCAGTGGATTTCCATATTCTTGTGGGTCAAACTCCATGAACCTCAAGATATCATTGAGCAAACAAATTCCCTATAATAACTAGAATGTAAGACCAAACCAGGATTGTTATAGAGATACATGGTCGGAGCTCCACTGTTGGCATTGGCGGCAGCTGCTTTTGCAGAAGCTTCTTCATCATGTGTGGCACTAATACGACACAAATATCTAGCAGAAGAGTAATTCAACAAGTAAGAAACATATCAAGAAACATCAAGGGAAATTGAAATTGAAGATTTATCCAAAAATCAATCTACTTAGTTTCATCTCAAGATGAAAACAGCCGCTTTCAGAATAAAAATTTCTTCCTCAATTGCTTAAATTGCAAATTAACCACTCAATGCCTCCATTACATAATTGATATATAAATTGGGTTTGGCTAATACAATACTACTATACTAATAATTGAGCTAATTGACGACAAAGACATCAACACTAAGAAACAAGAACCATTTTTTAGTTCAATCCCGACCCATGAAAACCCATTTTCTCTATGCCAAAGAAAAAGACAAAGCTTGAACAAGCACACACAAAAAAGGAGGAAATAAAACCTGCGAGAGTGGTTTGCAGCAAGAAATTTTATGGAACCAACATTAGAGTAGATTCCTGGAGATGCTCGCACGCCTGCAAAAACCCTCCCCGTTTTCGCATAATTACTGTTGAAATCAAACACTAAATTCAACATTACACTACAAATATACTTAAACAAATGGATATAAAATGCAAAGAAAGAGAGAGTACCGGAATACAGCGAGAGAAGACGTCAAGGCAGCCATAGATTTTTGGGCTGATATCATTTTCTCAGCCAAACTCTCTCACACGATGAAAACAGCTCTGATGAGTGAACAAAATACATGCAATTGAGCCCCTCTATTTGCACTGTTGTGGCATAGGACCCCTCGACTTTTTTTAATTAGCAAATCACCTCTTGGATTTGCTAGGCACTTCAAATCAGCCCTTTTAGCTACAATGATGTCACTCTGTTCACCATAACATTCCTGCATAGGAAAATAATCATATAATTTTTATGTATAATTTTTTTATATAATCTTATATACTTTTAAAGACAAATTCTTTTTACTCTATTGAAATTTAAAATATTATATGTAA